GACTTATGGGAGATCAAATAGTCTTGACTCAGATGCGTATCGTAATCTATAAATGTGTCGAGATTGAGGCTTAGCTATCATACCCTCACACATATCTAGTCACAAAATATCATAGTGGACTAAATGCGCCAAAACAAATGACCTTCTACGGCTTTCCTACTTACTTGTGCGCACCCATTGCGAACAAAGTTACACATGCACATGAGAGCAGGATGTCATAAGCGAGTGGGCCCGAGAAGGCCTACTCAAACCATCATGTCATCATCTCATTAATGTGATTAAGTATAATAAGCCACTGGTTCATGACCAATGTCATAAACTAATTCCAATCATCTTAATGTGTGAGTTCTCAAAGACAAGATTTAAAGGTTTAGGCCCAATTAGGTAATGACTCACGACTAAGTCATATTCACTAGATCATAAAAAAAGGATGTCATGGAGATATACTAGGTAATGACTCATGACTAATTCATGTTCACTAGATCATAGAAGGATGTCATGGAGATACCAAGTGCGCCTAAGTCGCAAATTTAACTAGTAAGTGCTAATCCCCTGCATTTTCAAGTTAATTTTATTCTCCATACACTTTACTGCATCTAATTGAAAGATGACGATACTTCGCTTGCCATCTCTGTTTTTCGCTTCATAGTTACTTGCAATTAATTCTACTATCCACAAAAAGGAGAGAATAAGCTATCAATCTATGATAGCTCCTGAAGTAACTTAAGCGCGAATTAGACTAAAGAGTCTAATTCAACACAATGCTCTCACAAGCGATACGTCAAATTCTTAGAGTCATAACAACCTTGTCGGCCTTGACCTTTTAATTACTATGCTGTAACATTTGCGCTTAGTGGTAAACGTTATTCCAAACGTTAGCCTAGCTAAGGAATTATACAAAGAAGCACCTCCTTATGTCTCATACTCAAGTGTGGAAACAGTAAGTGTCCAGACTAAGACAAGTTGACAATACTAATAGATTTTGCAACCACTTGGTGCTAATCTCTTCACTTAGTGTTAATAGATTTTTCTGCTACTAAGAGCTAATCTTTTAATTTTAGGTGATACTTCAATGTACACTATTAAAGTGCCTGAAATTTTGCTCCATCCACTCCCAACAGTTGGATAGAGAGCAAAACACTGCTCATACTGTCTACTCGTCTTACACTTAATGACTAACTCTTTTAAGCTCGCATTTCTTGGATAACACGACTCTTGAATGTTACTTCATACAATGATACAACATCATTACAAGTCAAATTACAAAGTCAATCCGCGCAGCTCAATAGTCAAGATCATATACAGATCTGTTGAGGGCTTACTAATTTCATAACTCCAGAACTCGCCAACCACAACTACGTAGCGTGCCGCTAACCATAGCACACACATTGGTTTTTATTGTACCAAACAAGGCAACAAAACCACAACAACTTTGAGTCATGTGTTTCTTACTGTGGCTCAATTAAGGTCTGACCTAAAGTCTCCAAGATTTTTGCTCATCTAAAGAATAGGATTATATTGTTCACATTTGAACGTCTCTACTAAGTCTAGGTTAACCAAATAACTTCCATAAGCGAAGTCAATTTAGAGAGAAATTCGCATTGGGATTAATTTGATTAGCATAATATAATTTTGCCGCAAAAATCTAAATTAAATAGTGACAATATTTCACAAGTCGCAAGATCGAAAATCCGCTAAGCTCGTAATCATATCTTGCGCCACAGGTGACAATTATCCAAAATTTAATTTAATTTATGCGCAAAATATTAGTTTTCGGGAGTAAATCTACAAAGATTTCTCTCAACCAAACAACCTCTCACTGACTATGGCATGTCTAAAAGCATGATAAAAAAAAAAAATAATTCCATACAATAGCATCATAATGTAGATTCACGACTAACTCATGCTATGTCACAATTAATAATGAAATTTAAACAAGTAACAATTGATCATGCTATTCTAATTACAACATATTAGAAACTCTAGGCAAAAAATAACAATATGCTGTATTTAATATTCAAATTATGCCATAACAGAAAGTATATCACTTCTGAAAATTTCTGAAATTTTCTGGTATTTTCTAGAATTTTAAATAACTAATAAACACACATAAAATTAGAAATAAATATTCTAGAATCTGGTAAAATGCAATAACCATACCAGTAAATAGTAAACTACAACAATAGTCTACAATAAAAAATTCAGCTCCAAAAACTTAATCATGCAACAGCAGATGCATTTTAAAGCATAAATAATGAATTATTATTTCAAGAAAAATATTTTTTATTTTCATAAAATTTTGAAAATTTTACAGAAGATAAAAAATTTAATTCTGAGTCTAACGGTACCAACCATGCTTAAAACAAAGTTATAACGGATTAATTATGACTATTTAATGCGATTCATAATTTAAAACAAAAACAAACAGCGCCTTAGAACCAGCAGCAAAGCCAGCCAAGCCGCGGAGGAAAAACGGTGCGGCTTAGCGCGTGGCTCAATAGACAACTCAGCGAGCTGCTCAACACACGGCGCAGCAGGGGGCTCAGCGCGTGGCTCAACGCCCGGCGCGCGCGTGAAAATGCGAACAGCGCGCGCGTGGCAGTGCGCGCGTGGCAGTGCGTGCAAGCTGCTAACGGCATCAGATGGCGCGTGAGGCCCATGCGCCGCCTTCCAGGGTGTTTTTTGGTCCAATTTCGGTATTGCCAGACTCCATTTTCCAAAATAAATACATTTATGGCATTAAAAATGACATTTAATGAACATAAAAATAAAATATTTTATGTTCTTAATCTAATGAGAGTGGACATCTTCCTCCTTTATTAATATTCATGCATATATCATGTATATATATTTATATAAAAATATACACATATTTTAATGCATAAAAATAAGCACGGAAATATCCATATTGGCTCTGATATCAATGTAAATCAAAGTATGAAACGCAACGGAAAAAATATTTAGATCATGCCTTGTGATGATAGAACCTCGTGGGTAAATCACGTGCTTTCAGAATCTGAACAACGAATCCAGCAGTGGAGTGATACTACAAAATGAGTATCACCCACACAAGTCACAGTGCAAAATGGCTTGATCGTTGTTTAATGTGAGAGAGTCAGAGAGAGAGAGTCTGGGAAAAAAGGTTATGGGTAAAAAACCACATAACGTATCTGATTATGGGTAAAAAACCACATAACATATCTGATATACGTATTTGATATATCAATATATTATCTAAAATATATAATCAGATATATAACCACCAATATCTCTTTATCCATCTATCCATATCTATTGATATGATAGATATAGATATCCTGAATAGTTATCCAAATAAGTTTTGAATTAAATTCAAACTTATATGGATAAGGTTCAAAAGGGTCATGCCACATGGGCGCTCAATTTTTAACAAAAATTGATAGTCTATTTTAAAAATATATTTGTCGTTAATTTTTTCGGAGACAAATGCAATAAAATAAAAAAGTTATGCTTATTGAATCAAGGAAAATACTTCGTAGCTCGAAATAGATGGCTCGAATACCCAAAACGACGTCGTTTTGGGTTTTTTTTTTTGCTTCTCTTTCGAACACAAAGGAAAGGGAAGGGAAGGAAGAGAAGACGAAGAGAAGCAAAAAGATCAAGGAGACAAATAGGAAGGTAGGAGGCCCTCTTTCGAACACAGAGGCGATGGAGGTGATACCGGTGGCGACTTAAAGGTAAGACTGGTTCCATTTTCTCCCTTGCCTACTCTAGATCGAGAGAGGGCAGCAGCTCTTCCTTCTGCTAAGCCCAATCGAGTGAGTTGTTTTTGATAAGATGTTGATGAAGTTGTTGATAAGATGATGAAGTTGTTGATACAAACCTACCCGATCTCTCTGTGTATCTGGATCTGAATGAAAAAAAAATAAAAAAATTGTTTATGTTCATGAAGATGCTTGAAACTCTGTTTCGATCTCTCTGTGTTCTCTTCTTTTTTTTTTCTATGTAGATCTGGATCTGAATGAAAAAAAAAAAAAAAAAAAGTTGTTGATAAGATGTTGATGAAGTTGTTGATACAAACCCACCGGATCTCTCTATGTATCTGAAGTTGTTGATAATGTTAGCTTTCCCAGATTTTTAATTTGGTTTTGATTTGTTAGCTCTCTAATTGGTTATTTTGTTGATCAACAGTTTGTTGATAAATGATTCCGATAGAAAACAAATATGTTGATTTATTTTGTTAGCTCTAAACAGTAGAAGAACAAATTGGTTTTGATTTGTTTTGTTGATTTATTTTGTTTTGTTGATTTTGATTTGTTAGAAGAACAAATATATTTATTTTGTTGATTTATTTTGTTAACTGTTGATCAACAAATTTGTTCATCTCTCTCCATTGATTTATTTTGTTAGCTCTAAACAATAGAGGATAGAAAGAGAAAGGAGACAAAGGGTTGTTGATACTAAACACGCAGAGTTCTCCATTGATTTATTTTGTTATCAACGTTTTTCATATTTTGCTGATGAAGGAATCTTTCATGAAACAGAGCAAGGAGACAAAGGGAGAAACGCCCGCAGAGGATAGAAAACAGCATTCGGGCCACTCTCGAGCCACAACATTCGAGCTACTTAGCGGGGTCGTTGAATCAAACTAATTTTTTTATGAATAATATTTATGAGAACCCTACAAAATGAACAGTTTGGATCATCTAAATAGGATTCCATTGTAGGTCCTATAGACCCTAAGTTCTGTCATATTAAGATCTCAACATAAAAGAAATGCAACCAAAATATCATGTAAAAAAATAAAAAGAAAACTGATGCCATTTTTTTGTTTTTTGTTATCTATTATTATTCTTAAAAAAAAAACAAATTTAAAATTAAACACAGCCTAAATGTATATTTGCTTTTGCATAATGAAATTTATAACATCATTTAACTCCTAAACGGTGCCGTATTAGTTGGATTTGCTTGTGTCGAGTCGTCCACCAAAAAGGTAAGAGGAAAGGCTCATCCTAATTAGGTTACTATAAATTAGGTCCTCCGAACTCAGGTCTTCGCTAGCTAGTCATCGTGTATTTCTTTTTCTATTTTCCGCCATAATCACTGTCTCTCAAATCAAATCTCTTTGGATTGGCTTTGGTGGTGGTGGGCTTCACTTGTTCTATCTTCATCGGCTTTCAGGTCAGTTTATTAGTATTCCAAGAGTTTCGTAATCTCATACTAAATTGTTTTTAGGGTTTTTCGCTTCTTTTCTTTTTTCTTCTTTTTTTTTTTTTTAAATTTTTTATAATAAGCATTTTCTCTCCTTCAATTGGCATGTTGTGTGATGTGATTTGGGGAAATAAAGATCCCTGTTTGATTAGATTGAAAATTGTTACATACATGTTTCTCTGTGTATATATATATGTATAATGAGAGAGGAATTTGATTTTGATTTTGATTTTGATTTTGATTGGATAGCTTCATCAATTCTGCTGAAATGTAGTCTACCAGAATTCAATGAGATAAAGCTTAAAAAGAGTTGCTGGTGTCGTGACTATCTTCTTCAAAACAAAAAATGTAGATGGAGAATTAATTGAGTAGCGAATTGAGAATTGGTAGCTTAAAGATCAAATGGGAAAGAGATAATTTTTCCAATGGAAAAATGAGATTCTGCTTCTGTGTATTAAACATTCATTTATTGATGTTGTGTAGTATAATCCCACACATAATAATATCTGTGGACATTCTTTTATTCTCTCTTTGTTGTGTCTTTATTGCCAATCTTATTTCTGTTCTCTCTCCACAAGCGCATGCTATCTCATTTCTTTGAAAAAATTCAAGCAAATTTACTGACTTTTTCAGTGTAGAAGAGAGCTATTACCAATGAACGTGATGACTTTGTAGGTTATTAGCTCTTCTTGTGTTTCTTTTATTTGCACTGTCAATGTGATGTCTAGAAAGCTCCAGCTGTCTGTTAATTTCTCATTTAAAAAAAAAAATAAAAGATCGTTTAGAAGAGAATTGTTGAATTTTATTAGGAATTACATGCCACCTGACAATTGTCTTTGTTAGGTTTGGATTCCAAAGCCTCAATGGTCTAATTTGTCCCATCTCGCCAGCTTCCTTCAAAAAATAAAGAGTGCAGATTGATTTCTCTGTTTAGAAAATAAATGACGCTGTTATCCAAACTCCTTTTTTATGGATCCACAACTCTTTGTCCCAAATTATATCTGAAATCAGGATAACAGTCGTGTTAAATAACTGTTTCGCTGAATTTATTTGTTCTCCATTGGTGGATAATATCATATATTCAGCCTAAATGAACACGTGAAAGAGCTTTTACCCCTAGTAGTTTGAGATGCATTGCTCATGCATTATTGTGCCACACAAAAACGAGTGATTATCTCCATAATCTTTGTGACGTGGAAATGTTGAGCTGTATTCTTCCTTATGCATTATGCTCTCACACATAAATGACTGATTATCTCAATAATCTTCTTGAACATTCATCTTTGCAGAACTGGAACCCTGTTGAGAGCAATCCTATACCTCCACTCTTTGCCAACCCAACCCCCTTACCTCCCACCCGCAACAACCAAAAAAAAAAAAAAAAAGAAAAGAAAAGAAACTGAGGCTTGAATCTTCCATTCCATTGGATCTGCTGATGTGAATGAAATTAAGTGAAGTCATCTATGAAAAATGTTTCTTTAGTTTTTTTATGAGACCCAAATTTGTGAGAATTTTGAACCCGCTTGCATGAACTGTGATATAAGCTAACCTATAGAATTGTTCTTGTGTAGATTTTATGTTACAGAGATTCTTAAGGGAGAAATCATGTAGGTTTTGATACTTCCAATGAGGATGTTAGTCTCAAGCTGTTAAATCCATAAACAATCTGTGGATGGGAGGTGAACAGTTCGAGTTCAATAGGGACATAGGGGTGGGTGTGTGCATGTCTTTTACTTTCCATTAGTAAAAAGAATAAAAATTAAAAAATAAAAGGTCAGGAGCTAGGGCCTTGATTTGATGGAAGTCATTTTCTTTGTGGTCAGGAGTTTGGTGAAGTCATGGATTAGTTTGATTATAGATTCCCTTCATTGTGAAATTATTTACTCAGGGCTTTTGAAGAGTGAAACATTTCAGAATAAATTGGCCACTAGCAATGAGATTATAGCATTTATACCTGTTCTCAGTTACATTAAATATGCTATGTATGATTTGGTTGATTATGTTCTCTTGATGCTGACACTGCATAATTTTTTGGGTAGTAGAACTTACCATGACTAAGCCCTTTACTCCAGTCAAACAATGTCCTGCTGCTGACCCATTTGTTTTCTTGGAAGACACCATTGATTGTTGGACACTGTTAAATATAGCTCCCTGATGATGATATTTGTATATGGAATTAAAAGATTATATTATGCCAAAATGATTATTGCCTTTAAATTGTGAGTTCTTTTTCCCTAGTCATTTTTTGTTATGTAAGGTATCCTGGTCAACTTACGCATACCAAACTAGTCTTTACAGTCCGAAGCCTTTCAAAACAAGTTTATTCCCTAGTTTATCTATTTACATGGTTTTTGGAATCTTTGGCCAAGGTTAATAGTTATGAATCTTTATGTATGTTATTTCTACTCTAATTTCAATTAGAGAGTATTCCTGGAGATTTTCTATTAGATATGTATATAACAACTATCGATAAGTGGGGAAATTTTTGAAGTAGGCTTTCAAGTATCATACTTAGGGGCTGTTTGGTGCAACTTATATGACTTGCTTATAGCTTTTCTTATTTTAAGAGTCTGTGTCAGACTGTTTGGTGCAACTTCTACTTATAGCTTATTAGGCAAAATAGTTTAAATAAACTAGGAAAAAAGGAGAAAAAAAAATTTGATTATGGAAGATGGGGAGGGGTGCTTTTGGTTTTTCTTTATGATTATCAACTTTTAGCTTACAATAAGTTGCACCAAACAAGCCCATAACAGTCATCTGTGTCGCCTTTCAATCATCAAAATTTTATGTAATTAATAGGGATTTTCTACAAACCTTATTATTAGCTTGACAAAAGTTGTCTTGTGCCTATCTCCAGCATGAGGCTAACATCCATGATTAGTTGTAGTTCATTTTTTTTCTTGCATGTTGGATTCATGAAAAGCAAGAACGACTTTAGGACTTTATAGAGATGAAATGATTGCAAGTTACATGCAAACATGCACACATTGCGTCATCATACTAGGAGATTTTCAGTGGACTGTTTTGGATCTTTTATCCAGATAACCCTGAGGGGGGCCACTTAAAATTTGTTTAGAGGGCTTACGGAAAAATTAATGTAAAGGTCTAGTATTTTTGAGAGCTTTGGGAATCCATGGCCCCCACATACATCCTGTTAGCCTTGTTCTTGGGTTGAAACTATTATATTGTGGTAATGAAAGCAAGAATGACTTCTTATTGTACAGAGAAAAAGATTGCAATGTACATGAAATCATGCACACCAAGATATGGACAACTCTCTTGTGGTAGGCCAAAAGACTACTTTTTTTACTATAAAAATGTTTTTGAACTTTAATCTAATATGCTTTTGTAATCTATCATACTTTTAACAAGTTCTGTAAACCTAATTTAAGAATTTATCTTTTAGAGAATGGAGAAGTTAGCTGCATATTTGTTTTGGCATTGCTTGTCATGATATTGCAAACTCTTCAGAATAAGAAGATTGGGATGAACAATCTTTTCTCCTTTCTTTTCTCTGGTTGGCATGACTTCTTATTTCCTTATTTTCCTATGATTTGGCTTTTATCTATATCTGCTTGATTTGTGAAAATACTCGTATAGTATGCAATATCAAATTCAATCACATAAAATTCGCATGTTCAATGTATTACATATGATGTTGGAATATTAATTGGCTGGCAGGGAAGACCATGGCATCAGTGAAAAACAAGAAAAAAACTAATAATGCTTCTGAATCTATCCCAAAAGTGGCGCTCTCTGACAAGAAAACTCCAAAATCTCTTAAGCCCGAACCTAAGATTGTGAAGAAATCTGTAAATCAGAACTCTGCACTGACGAAGGACACAAAAATCAATGCTGCTGAATCTATCCCGAAAGTGATGCTCTCTGACAAGAAAACTCCAAAGTCTCTAAAGCCTGAACGTAAAATTGTGAAGAAATCTGCAAATCAGTACTCTGCACTGACAAAGGAAACAAAAATTAATGATGCTGAATCTATCCCAAAAGTGATACTCTCTGACGAGAATACTCCAAAGTCTTTGAAGCCCAAACCTAAAATTGTGAAGAAGCCTGTAAACCAGAACTCTGCACAGACAAAGGAAACAAAAATTACTTCACAAGTTCAAGCCAGAAACAAGGATCAAAAGAAAACTACAGGAGGAGGAACACGAGAAAGCTTTGATAGTGAAAAAGATGGCAGAAGGAATATCAATTTAGTTCATGATAACAGAAAGAAGAAAATTACCAATGAAAAGCTTGAAGAAAGAAGCCGGTTGAATGAAAAGGCTGATGAAGATCTTGGTGGAGTTATTTTCATGTGTAACTCAAAAACCAAACCTGACTGTTTTCAGTATCTTGTCATGGGCGTCCCAACCAACAAGCAGGAGCTTGTGATGCGCATCCAACCTGGGCTGAAGCTTTTCCTGTATGATTTTGATCTCAAGCTTTTGTATGGAATATACAAGGCATCTTCTACTGGTGGCATGAAACTTGAACCAGCTGCTTTTGGTGGGGCCTTCCCTGTTCAGGTCAACCTCTTGTCCTAGATTCACCTTCTATTGTTTATTTTACTCTCAGCTCAAATTCTTGAATAACCCTTCTTGTTTGTTCTTGACAAATGGTCATTCTGAAGGTCCGCTTCAAGGTTCACAAGGACTGCCTTCCACTTCCCGAGGATATATTTAGGAAGGCAATCAAGGAGAACTACAATGAGAAAACACTCAAGTTTAAGACTGAGTTAACCGTCCAGCAGGCGAGCTCTATTTGCTCTTGAAAAAGACTGAAAAGACCACAAGAAAATGTTATTTAATATATATATATATTAATTTGGCTTTGATGATGTCATGTATTACTGCTTTCAGGTAAAGAAACTGACAGATCTGTTCCGGCCAGCCCCATTGTTGCATTCAAATGCACAATCTTCTGTGAAAGAACTGCAGATTCGTCCCTCACTAGCAGCACCTACAGTGGACGAGGAAGCTCACTTTCAACAATTTTACAGAAATCAAACGAACCAGCTTCCTAGGCACCCCATCTCACCTGGTGGTGATGTGGCTTCTCCTGATCCACTTTTTCTCACTGAGAAAGAATATCGAAGTTATGGTCTTCGACGGGAAAGGCATATGCTGACAATTCCTACAGCTCCTATTTCGTGGACTTTCGATGCATACAAAACTGACGGAGAAAAAGAGCAACTTCAGAGGAACCCTGTTTCTGTAAGTGAAGATGCAAGAAGGAATGAAGTTGCGCATCACGATCCGCTTTTTCAAGATGCAAGAAGGAAGGAAGTTGCTTATAATGATCCGCTTTTTCTTAGTGAAAAGGAATATCGAGCTTATGGCCTTAGGCGAGAAGCACCTGCTGCAGTGACTCCTCCTCCCAAAGAAACTGCTTCTACTGCTTTAGACAGCTATCCAAACGATCCATATTATCCATATAACTATGGCAGTAGCTCAATGGCAGATCGGTATCTTCCGCTGCCAAGGACAGTGACAGCTCCTTCAGAATCTTATTATTCTCTGACAACAGAAGAGCCCCGTGGGAATGACTTCACATACATGGAGAGTGGCACCAGAAGCTACCGAGGAAGAGTGGTTCCCAATGATACAGAAAGATTATATTCATCATCATATGCTGCACATTCTCTATCAGACTACAATCAGAAATACCAGCACTTGGGGGGTGAACCCGAATTTACGAATACATCAGTTTCATCTCGATATTCCTTTGCAGCCCCTTCTGTGTTGTACCGTTGAGACGATGTTTGCTTTCATTCCTTTGTTATCTGCTTCATGCATTTTAAGGTTATGATCTTTGAGGTGTATGGGCTCCACCTGGGAACTTTTAGTGGGTAAAGCCAAGTTTCTGTCAATGTTGTACATTAGGTATTTTTTTCTGGTTCAATTTGTGTTTTAGTCTGTTTTACCTTTTCTTGGAATACTTTCTGAGAGTGGGGAAGAAACTCTAGTAAGGATAAAACTAAAATGATGTTTGTAGATTCTATTAGATTTATCTTAATCTCACTAGTGAGATCTGAATTAGCTGGTGGTGCAAATTTCTCTGTTAGCGACTGTTGAATTTCACAGTAGAAAGTTGTCGGTTGTGATGGGATAGTCATGACAATGCCAGAAATTTGGTGCCGAATGTGCACCATCCATGGATGAAACTAGTTTAGCATGATATTTGATTGGGTACACTTCAGGAGCACAGGTGCTTCATACAGCCCAGCTGTGATGCTGAACCTCGTTCTTATATGGTTACTAGACAGCTGCCATGTGTGATACACGCGAGCCTTGCCTCGTTTGTCATGAAAGGAGTTGAAATTTGTCACCATATCTTGTGGTAGATATTAAGCTGAATTGGATTGTAAAATGATCACTGCTTAGCTTGCAATTTAGCTTGGTAAGAGCTCTGATAGAAATCAGCGTGTGAAAGAATAGTGAGCTGGTCGGTCTGAAGTTCAATGTCTAGTTTTTTAAAGATAAATACGACTTGATTATGGGACTTCCAATGTTTGAATTTTTAGATGAATGACTAGTTTTACAGAATTTATAAAATGAGCGGTTTAGATTGTTCATGAGCCCAACCAAAACCCACAACAGGGCATGTTATATCCAACTCACAACCGATGCACCCCTCTCTAGATTAGTGTGACTGCCAGAAATGAATGTGGCTGAGTTTACAATTTTGTTAAAAAAACAGCTCATTTGGGCACAAGCCTCACTTGTCTCTTTGGGCATTGGTTTATATGTCAATTTATTTAATTTTTAAGCCATTAAATTCAAATTTAATTTAATTATTTACTACACAACAAATATTTAAGAAGCCAATTTATTTCTAAAGCAAATAAAAAAAATTAAGTTAGTTTATTTCATCAAAAAAATCTTTATCAAATAAGATAACATATTTTTACTAATATAAAATTCAAAAATTTAAATTGGTTTATGACTTAATTATTGAGTTAGATTAATCTGATAAATATATCTATTGACCCATAAAAAGTAAATAACAAACATAATTTTAAAAATAAACTTATTTGTCATAATTTTAGATGAGTTCTTATTTATTTTTAGTAAATTTTTTTGGATATTTTAATCAAATTTGTATACTTTTTAGATACACCTAATTAAGGTGCATGTAAAAAGTTTTAAAAAAATAACTAAAAATAAACAAAAATTCAAATAAAAATATGTGTATTTTTTTGTCTGAATTTGATTTGTTTGTAGTGAATTTTTTCTTCTTCATATTATAGGGTTTTTTTTCTTCTACTTTTTAAATACATTTAATTTTAATATATCTAAAAAAATAACTAAATTAACTAGTAAAATATTAAATAAAAATTCATCTAAAAAAAATTCCTGAAACAGCAACCAACCAAACAAAGCAATTTTGTGGCTCCACCCCCACGTTTGCGGGAGTTTGTTGTGCATCTTTTGGATAGATAGGAAAATGTTATTTTTTGACTTTTAATTTATCTTGGATTGTTTTAAAAAAATAGTTAAAAGTTAATTTTTTAATTTTTTTTAGTTTTTTTTGAAAAAAATATATAAAAAATATGAAAGATAATAATATGACCTAAAATAAGTTAAAAATTAAAAAATAATTTTTACCCATCTTTTCAAAATAATGAGTCATATCACATTTTTACTTTTTTTTTTATATATATATTTAAAATAAAATAAATAAATAAACATCTTTTAACGACTTTTCAAAACAAGCATTAACTCAAGTTATCTATTCCCCATTCTTCTCTTCTAAATTCTAATAAATAAACCGTTAATAAATTCAACGATTCACAGAGAAAAAGCAAACAGACAAGTATGGATTCCAATTCTGCGTCCCGCAAAGCTTCGCCTTCAGGTTCTCTCTCCATCTCTCATCTTTTCTTTTCTTTTCTTTTCTTTTCTTTTCTTTTTTTGGTTCCGTCAAATGAATCAGCTGATCTTCGCTCTTATTTATCTTTTGATGATCTTAGCTCTCGTTTTCTTATTCGTCATATTATCTCCATTTCATATTTGCTTCAATTGAACACCTAAAATAAATCAAATAAAAATATGGGTTTGTTGATTTTTATATTTTTATGATCTGTTTGTATATACATCATGATGGATATTCTCTCTCTTTGTTTCTTTTTTATAATTAAATTTATGCCATGAATCGTCTAAATCAGGATCTGTGAAAGTCAATCGTGAGAATCGGAAATGGGGGTTATCGGCATCCGATGTTGTTTATCACTTCGGTACTAGTGGAATGTCTGTTGCTGCTGCCACTGCCATCACTCACCCTTTAGGTTCTTCCCTCTTTTATTTTTATTTTTTTTGAGGTTTCAAGTTTTATTCCAGTTTAAGTTGTTGATTTGATTCAAACATGGGTTGTTCTTGAATTGCATGTATATATAAATTTGAACTAATGACTGCTCAGTGTTAATTTGTTAGTACTGCTCATAGGAAGTGCGTAAAATATGATTTTTGATTACCTTTAACCTTAAGTTTTATGTACTTTTATGTACCATTATACCTGACACATCCTCATCCAGTGGATAGAAATGAATTTGAGGTGCAGCGTGCAGCACTGCGTTCAAGTTAAATGCATGTCGCGTTTACTTTTGTGAATGAGTTCAGAAGTTTAGATCGGATTTCATAGAATCGAATCTCTTATTTTGCTATGGTGTCACCTGTCAAGTGTTTTAAGCAATTGTCTTTATGATTTAAATGTGAAGGCGGATGGGGTTGATGGATAGAAATTTGATTTATGGAGAAGCAACATACATTAAAAGTAACAAATGTGTTTTAGATGTTATTTAAGTGAATTTGTTCTGCAATTAAAATATTTAAAAAAATATTAAACGGGTGTTTGCAAAACAAATTTGTGAAGGAAAGACATGATGGTTTTGTCTTGAACTAGGATTTGTGATCTGTTTTGGTGTGGAATGCAGATGTTCTCAAAGTTAGGTTGCAAATGCAACTTGTTGGACAGAAAGGTCCCTTAATTGGAATGGTATGAAGTTGAACATTGTGATTATCCTGACTATCTGGTTTAACAGATTTTGACTATCAAAAAAATCTGGTTTATTACAACAACTAACATCAAGTTTTACCATATGTGAATGTACACAGGGACGCCTTTTTGTTACAGTATTGAAAAGTGAAGGGCCTAGGTTCTTGTACTTGGGATTGACACCTGCATTAACGAGGTCAGTTCTTTATGGGGGTCTTCGATTAGGCTTGTATGCACCAACAAAGTATGTCTGTGAATTGGCTTTTGAGTCCACCAATGTTTTGGTTAAGATTGCGTCAGGAGCATTCTCTGGTGCCTTTGCAACTGCGCTGACCAACCCTGTGGAAGTTCTGAAGGTATTTCGATTCAAAAGCTTTTCTAAACATTTTAGACTTTGTCTTACTTAACGCTCTTCTTTTTTCAGGTGCGGTTGCAGATGAATCCAAACTTGAGAAGAGGAGCAATAGGGGAAATGAGAAAAATTGCTTCAGAAGAGGGAATAACGGCTCTCTGGAAGGGGGTTGGCCCTGCTATGGCCAGGGCTGCTTCTTTGACTGCATCGCAGCTTGCAACATATGATGAATCCAAGCGGGTCAAGTTCTAAGCATGCTATTTTTCACTTTGAATACCCACGACGTAATTTCCAAAGTTTCTGATTAGTTTAGCTCTTATTTAATTTGTAGTCTAAAATGGGTTTAGGCTTCCCATTTTGCTTTTCTTTGTATCTGCTATATTTTATTTATTTTTCTAATATTTTTTCATCTATTCCTCTGTTGCAGGTTTTGATAAGGTGGACTCCTCTTGAAGAAGGATTTTATCTACATCTCATGTATGGCTTCTAGCTGTTCCACTTCTCCTTATTATCTATTAAGTACTGCACATTGAATTTTATTGAGTTTTTGTTTTCTCGAAACAAGTGCCGTTAAAGCAAAACCCTAAGGTTGTGTTTTGGATCTATGATAATTTTATTCACATTTCCCCTCCCTTTTCCTTTTCCTTTCCAAATCCCTCCCCAAAATCTAGATCCAAACATGCCCTAAATGGTTGAGAACATGGTATCTGCAGGTTTTAGCCCATTGGGCCAGCTGCCTAACCCTGATCAAAACATAGATAGGCACATCCAGAATGTGAAAACATCATTAGTGTGAATAACATTCTTTCATAGTTGAGCAAAATAATTGTGTTGAATTTTGTGTACATTAGTAGTTCTTCAGATAAAGTATCTAAAAGATTACTTATATGTGTACATATCTTCTATCAAACTTGGGAACTAAGTATTTTAGCCAAAAAGACAAAAAGTCACTATAAGTTGTCACATCACTCTCTCTACTTTTCTACGCATTTTTTTTGTAAAAAGCTAAAAAGTTACTAAAATAGTATGTTTCCAAACAAGGCCTTAAGTTTCCATGTTGAGTCACCATTTTGTCTGGGATTTGAATCACACTAGTTTCACGTGTACAAAATATAAAGATGCCTTAATGTCTGTTTTAATTAAAATATAATGCAAATACTTTCTTCCACTTTCTAACACTGGTTTAAACTTACTGAAGCTCAAGTACAATAGCAGGCACAGTGAGCACCCTCATTACTGCACCCGTCGACATGATTAAAACCCGTCTCATGTTGCAACGAGAATCTAAAACAGTTGGAACCTACAAAAATGGATTTCATTGTGTGTACCAGGTAATGACATTTCTTCTGTCTAGTTATTGTGCTCAACATACTCTTGTCATAGTTTTTTGCTTTTTTTTTGGCCTCATTATGACTACTTCAGTTACCAATATCATTATTCGCTTAGGTAGTGTTTGGTTCACTGGAATAGAATAATCATTCCATCAAAATATTCATTCCTATGTTTGGTTGACTAAAAAATAATGAAAAATACATTGTAAATAGAATCATCATTCACAAGTATAAGGGAATGATCATTCCATAGGAAAGCTTAAGGAATGACCATTTCATTTCATTCAATCTCATTCTAGTGAACCAGATAGAGGATTAGGGTGCATTTGGTATGTGGGAATGGGTAAGAATGGGCTGGGTACACAATGAGCTTCCTAGGATTTCTCTAAAAACATGCTTACTGGCATGATGTCAAATTCCGTAAAAGACATAAGTGAAACTCTCCCTAGTACCAATTGGAACTATGGTTCGACAAGAGGTATCAAAGTCAGGTTGTCATAGGTTCAAGTCACAGGAGCCTCCTCGCGAGGGGGGAATTGTAGGATTCACAATGTCGTTCCCTATAACCAGTCTAAAAAGAGGCCTATGGGAGAAATGTAGAATGCCATGGAAAACATAAGCGAAGTCCTCTCTAATACCAATTGGTTTTAGGAGAGATAGTAAACTACTGTCCAACAAAATGGAGCTAGTGTTCAAGCTTCTCATCCCATTTTTCATGTTTGATACACCAAATGAAGGTTATGGTTCAATTCCCACAATTTCTTGGACTGAAAGCATTCCATTCCATTCCATTCCACCTCACATCTCATTCCATTCTCACCTCATTCCTTTCCTGTGCACCAAATGTAACCTTAATTCTTGATGTTGTGCTTTCAAGGGGAAGTTGACAGAATTTTGTGAATTTGACTGCCTAATGCAATGTTTATATCTTAAACTTCTGCATAAGGTTCAGCTTGCCTGGCTTGCCTAACGTGCTTGTATTATGTATTATTCCAGGTTCTGCGCCAAGAAGGTCCCAGGGGCCTTTACAAAGGGTGAGATTTGTATATCCAGGCAACATCATAGCATCCTTAGATAAAAAACTAGGGTTTTGATGAACTGACATATTGTTTCAATTTTTTGTAGTTTTGTTCATCAACATTTCTGGTTGTTAACGTTGAAACTTTTCCAGGGGAACTGCAATCTTTGCAAGATTGGGTCCACAGACTATGATCACATTTATACTCTGTGAGAAGCTGCGGGACCTTGCTGGATTGAAGGCAATCTAGTAAGTGACATTGTCTCACATTTTCCAAGTAGTGCTTTTTCACATGCAGAACAGTTGCCAAACCGCCATCAAGCCTCAATTTTTGAATAATTTTTTTTATTTTCATTTTTTTGTGATTTCATTTATTTACTGTTCCATTAAGGAACCAAAACTGAGTTGGGTTTAGGCAAGTGACCTGCCACGAGAAAAAGGTCCATTTATTTGTTGGAGTTGTTGTAATAATGTATGTTTTGTACTCTACATACCCCATTGTTGTAGGATCTAGTTGTATCGCCAAGATTTTCAGCTGTTGTGTTTAGTTTTTCTTGTATTATTATATTGATTATTACATTTGGAAAGATTCATCCGTTTACTCAGTTTGGGGCAAAGATTGATCATATTCTTGCTGTTCTGAATTGATGTTTTGGTTAGCTATTGCTCAAGTGGACTTGTATCAATTGGAAAGCTTGCTGTTTTTGTTTTTAGTTTGACTTGTACTTTTCTGATGGAAAAGGTTTAGGTACAACCTACAACCAACTTTGAACTTTCATTTGACTTCATAGAGTTGCCTTCAACCAAGCTCCAACTCCTAAAAGGGTGGCAGATAGACAAGGGAGTACTTTCATGTAGTGGTTAAAGAATGTTCAGGATGGGCAGTGTGCAGTAAAATGGCCTTCTGCATTGTGGGTTTTTTAAATTCTTTATTTTCACAAAATCTATTAATCTTTTTTTTATTCGAATTATTTCTCTGTCGGTGAATTTTTATTTTTTTCCCAAATCACAAGTGAGACAATATAGAGACAGCTTGGATCCCCAGTCTAAATATGAAAATTCAAAGTACGATGGTGCTGTTAAGAGTACATTGTGATGAAAAAATGTTTTAGAAACGACCTTCATTTCAAGGTCAAATAATAAAGGCCAAATTAAGAGAATATCACACGATACTTTTTATCCATATCAAAACACTTAAATTTCATAAAAAATAAAAAATAAATAAAAATAAAAAAACTGATTTTTTTTTTTTACTAAAGTCCCTTAAATAAGTTACATGTTTTGAGAAATCAAAAGATTTTGATACCTAATGTACTTTCCTTTAAATTTTTATTGTGAAATGATAAGTTGAACATTTTAATCCATAATCTCTCATCTCTCTATTCTATAGCTCTTTCATTCTCTCTCTGTCTAGTGCTCAGCCACTGATCATATCTCTCATTGTTAATCTTAGATCTACTACTAGTAGTGACCATGACCCACCATTTACCTTCATCATCTCATGTCTGAGTGCTGCCTCTCTCTCTCTCTCCCCCCATGATGGTTTCTCTTTTCTTCTTCTTTTTTTTTTTTTTTTTTCTCCCCCACTTTTGGTACCATGTTTATTTCAATGTTAACTTAAATGATTTATATGTAGTTTAATATATGGATTTTACTTTGTTTCTAGCAGTAGAATTTTAATTAAATGCATTTTTATCATATTTTAAACTTTGTCTATGATAAAATATAAATTTTTAACTTGTCATTTTATGTAAAAAAAAAAAAAAAATGGAATCGAGAGATTCCTCGCCATTTTTTTTTTCTTTTTCTAATGTGGTTCAATTCCCACAATTTCTTGGACTGAAAGCATTCCATTCCATTCCATTCCACCTCACATCTCATTCCATTCTTCCAGCATTAGTACTCATGGACACTTTTAGAGTTGTTTTAGAAACTACCTAAAATAGTTTTTAAAAAAAAAATCATTATAAAAAATTAAGTATTCTCTCTATATTTTTATGTTCTTTTTATATATAAAAATAAAATAAATAACTAAAATAGCTAATCTATATATATATATATATATATATTAAGGAAAATGGAGTTTTTAATGATAAGTCTTGTGGGAGCTCTAAACTCTCAAACTAAATTTTATGATTTTTAAATTTTTAAATAATAAAAAAATATCTATTGGTTAAATTCTCATTTAATCATAACAATAAAGTCTTAATTATTCCATAAATTACGACTTTTAAAATGAAAGTATGTCCAACTATTTCAAAATTTAAATTTGTGTGCCACTATGTATGAAAGCAATTCACTAAAATTTTATTATTTTTTATTTTTGAAAAAAGTCTACTGGTTAACTCTAATTTAACCACAACAATTAAACTCTAATTATTCTATAAATTACAACTTCTAAAAAAAAGTATGCACAATTATTTTAAAATTTAAATTTGTGCGCTACTAATATGAAAGCAATTCACTAAAATCTAATTATGATCATAAAAAAAATATAATTATTCCATAATTCATGATTTTTAAATATATATATTTTTTCATTTCAAGATTTAAAATTATGTGCCATAAAAATGATAAACAATTCAATAGAATCTAAAATTTATAAGAACCTTTCATATGGTCACGTTATGTATGTTATGACTAATATAGAAATCTATTTTAAATTTTATAATGATGCGCCTTTCAAAATTCAATATGGTAAGATTTAAAATTAAATTTTAAAACAAATCAAAATTATTATTATTTTTATTTTATTTCCAAACCTGCATACTAAATTTCTTGATTATTTTTTATTTATTCCTAAAATTATCATTTTAAAAAAAAAAAAACCCTTCTATTAGGTAACTTTTTTTCAACAACCTAATGATTTAAAATAAAAGTATACTGATTTATTTCAACAATCTAATGATATAACTATGTAACGATTTATGAAATTTAAAAAGAAAGTATATTAACTCGTTTCAGAATTCAAAAATATGCCATCTAACCATTAAAAACAATATGGCTGTGTTTGGTTTAATTCTTAATTCTCAAACCAGAATTCCACACTAATAATCAACTCTCTGTTTGATTATAGTTTTCAAATCATGATTCTAAATCAATTTCAAAACACATTTTGAAAACTAGTTTGGTAAACTAAAGAGTTTTTGAATTTTTGATATACTCGACCGTCCACCCGGACATCCACCTAAACAGTTTTTAAATTTTTGAGTCTACCCCAGTTGTCTCCCCGAACATCCTCCGGACTAGGGGTGAGCATGGTTTGGATTGGTCCGGATTGGGATAAAACCAGGGCCAATCCGTTATCTACGGTTCCTGAAAAATTAGAACCAATCCAATCCATTTAAATCTTGGAACCAATTCGAACCAATCTGTTTAAACACGGATTTGATCGGATTAGGACCACGGATTCCCATAATTAAATAACAAAACAGATATGTCCTATATAACAAAAAAATTACTTATAGATAGATTGATTAGCAATGATACAAGTATGGCAAATTGATTACTTACAGATAGATTGATTACTTACAGATGGATTGATAAAAAATTTTACTTACAAATAGATTGATTAACAATGATACAGATTAATTAATAAACAATGGTATAGGTATCTCTTACTTAAAAATAGATAAAAATCGAAAGATAAAAGCGGATCTATACACACACCCATATAAAAACAGAAAAAATAATATGAGATAAACAATGATCAACAATCAACAGAGATTTTTTCACAGATCTATACACACACCCATATAAAAACAGAAAAATAACCTGAGATGAACAATGATCAACAGAGATGAATAATAATTTGAGATACACACACAATGATCAACAATCAACAGAGATTTTTTACAGATCAATAGAGAGAAAGAGCTCACCGAGAGAAAGAAAGAGAGCTCAAATAGATTTATTCATCAAAATGTGACAAATTTGAGGCTAGAAAAATAAAAAAACAGAACATGATTCCCCCAAAAACAAAATATAATATATACACATATATATATATAGAGAGAGAGAGCTACAACTACCGATCTGAGATGGATGATCTAAGAAGGATGATGATCAGAGATTGAGGATCTGAGAGTGTCTGAGAAATAAGAGAAAGAGAGAGATAAGGGTGTGAGAGGCAGTGAATGAGTGGCGTGTGAGGTTGAAGATCTTAGATGGATGATCGGAGATGGATGGTGATCAGAGATGGAGGATCTAAGAGTGTCTGAGAAAGAGAAGAGATAGAGAGTATCGAGAGAAAGAGATGTGAGTGTGAGAGGCAGTGAGTAAGTGAGCGGCGTGTGAGGTTGAAGATCTAAGATGGATGATCGAAGATGCATGATGATTGGAGAGTGCCTGAGGAAGAGAAGAGGCAGAGAAAAAGAGTATCGAGAGCGAGAGAGATAAGAGTGTGAGGTTGAGTGAGTTGAGCGGCGTTAAGGTTAGTGTTTTCCTTTTATATGAAACCAGAAATCATATAATGTGGGAGGGTATATGGTATAAGTAAAGACTAAATATATACGGCTCGGATCAGTTCTAATCGAGAATCGTGAGGTTCAATCCAAAACCGATCCATGACTTGCGGATTTTTAAATTTCTAATCCAGAACCAAACCACGAATTAAAAAAACCAATCCAATCCTATCGGATCGGATTACGGATTATTTTGATTTCTTGCTCAACCATACTTCGAATGTCCGCCCAGTTCACCGGAATATTTTTTTTTTGTTATCTAAAAAAAAAAGTATATTTGTTTTTCATATTTTTTAAATATATAAAATATTTTTTTAAGACCAAAATGACAAATTATTTAGACATTTATTTAAAATTAACCAAAAAAATTGAAATAAAAATTTCCAGTAATTTTTTAAAAATAAAGATATTTTTAAGCAAAACAATTTAAAAAAAAATTCCAATCAAATATACAATCAAAAGTAGTTTTAAAACACTAGTTGAATATTTTTGTTAACAAATAATATTTTCTTTTTTATATTTTAAATAAAAAATATTTTCAATTTTTTTTAAAAAAATTGAATTGAATTTTAAAAAGAGTTTGGTTATGAGTTTTGAATAGAATTTTCAATAGAGTTTTAAGTTGTGTGTTTGGTTATGAGTTATAAGTTTTTGAATTAAGTTTTAAAAAACTCATAATCAAATAACTTTTCACAAACTCAACACTCATTTCAAAAATTTCACACTTGACTCGAAATTCAATTCAAAATTTTTTTCAATACTGATAACCAAACAAATTTTATCTTTTCAAATCATAATTTCAAAACTCACAAACTCAAAATATAACTCCACACTTAAATCATAATTTTAAATACAAGCCAAATGCTACCTATAATTTTCTTATAATTTATGACTTTTAAAAAGAAATAACAAATCAATTTAAAAAGTATGTATTACAAATTATGGGAAGTAATTCACATATTTCATAAATTTTTGCTCTTGCACTCATTGGATTCAAGTCAAAATAGAGACGATGTTCATCAAATGTAACTATTGGTGATGGGAGCAATTGTGAATAATTTTATTGATAAAAAATTTCATGGTAAGTTTATGCTTTTTATTTTTTATTTTTTTTTTTTTTTTTTAAAGATCAATTTCTAATATTTAATCTCCCGCATTCTTATTTGCATTATGCATCTAACAATTATGTTAATTTTTTTAAATTTATTGCATACTTATTTAATCTAAGTGCATTATTTTAAAATAAATTTATAATATTTTCGGTCACGGTTCAATAGTTTAAAATCTATGTTCATCAAATGTAAATACGGATGACAGAGGCTATTGAGAAGACGTGCATACTTATCCGTAACATAGCCAGTAATAAATTTTCATGGTAAATTTATTCTTTTTTGCATGTGGTCATAATATTATTTATGCATTTAGGTTTTGTAGTTTCCATGATTTCAAATTTTGAATTTTTTTGTAAGGTTTGCTTTTAATTTTTCAAATTTTATAGTTGGTACGTTTTTTTTTCTTAATAATGTTGTACTTATTATATTTCGTTTTATTGTGTGACTAAGATTATTTGGTTGTAATTTTAAATTATAATTTATTTGATATTTTTATAGCTTATTTGGCTTAAAATACAAGGTTTTTAAATTACAATTTGTATTTTTTTTAAAAAAAATTATTTGAAATCCTTAAATACATATGAATATAAGTGTCTTATATCTTTCGTCTTAGTAATAACTTTTGAGATATTATGGATATTTACATAATAAAAATGTTATATAAATTATCAAAAGTTACATTGCACCAAATAAATTTACAACTTATTTTAAGTTAATAATCTAAAATTTTATAACCGTTACATAGGTTATGCCAAACATTAAACAAAATTTAAGAAATATAAGGTGCATTTGGATTAAGATCTAAGTTACCTAAGCTAAATAGTGACCGTGGATATGATACACTAACATGTGGATAATTTTTTTAAATAAAAAAAATACTTTTTTTGTATATTTTTACAAGACATTTATCTCTTAGCTTTAATTTGTTCTTACATTTTACCTTCATCCTTGTGAATATAATTAAAAAAAAATTCAATTCAAATTTGTTTCCTATATATTTCAAACAAAAACTTTGATATTATTTAATTTGTAATTAATTTTTTACACCCGTGCATAGTACGACAATATGCTAATTCTTAAAAGTAAGAAAAATAACCTTAGTATGAGTAAACATCCAACGAGCGTAAAATTTGATAATTTGTTACCAAAATGTTTTTTTTTTTTTTTTTTTTCGTATTTAGTGCATTTATTAAATAAGATTCCATGTAGTACTCGGTATGACAGTATGTATTTTTACGTTAGATTCACTGTTGGCGTTGGGATCGATGCCATTTGGAATTTCCCTTTCTTTGCTGAAATTAGAAACAATTTCATTGGAGGAGCCTTGGCGGGACAGTCTGGCGCCCTTATTTCCTCACCTCGTTTTTCACTCTAAACTACGATTTCGCCATTTCCACTGCGTTTGACCCATTGTACCCTTTCCGAAAATGTTTAACGTTTGTTTGGTCGGGAAATTTAAATAAGGATTTAAAAAATGGGGATGCACCAATAAATCTCAAATTAATAACTTATATACTGTTTAGTCTTAAAAGTTTTTTTATAGACTGAAAGGTCCCATTATAATATTAATAACATCAGATACAATGTTAATAACATCAGAGTCATGTTACAAATATTAAATTTCAAACATCTAATGTTCATCAAATTTCAATAATGTTTGAAAATATAGAATGAAAAACATCTAATGTTCATCAGATTTCAATAAATTTTGAAATTATAGAATGAAACATCAGATCATTTACATCATTCACATCATGTTGATGTAAAAATGGGACTAAATGGAGCGTAAGAAAACTTTTAGGACTAAATGGTTCAACGTTTCAAAAACTAGGACTTATGGGTAAATTTTCCTTTAAAAAAACAAAAAATATAAAATTAGATAAAATATAAGTGTATTTTATTGATGTTTTACTTTTTTTTTTGGTTTTATTTCTCTTTTCAAATCATTTCCCAAATTATCTAACCAAACACAACATAAATGTTTCAAAATTTTTTCACAATTTAATTTATAATGATATGATTTAAGAAGTATTTAATGTATTTAGTTTCAGCTTTTTGAATTCAAATTTTTAAAAATTAACAATTTTATTTTTCGTATTTTTTTTTATTTTTAGTGAATAATTTTAAAATTTTAAGTAATTTTTTTTTTTACTTTTTAAGATGTACATTACTTAGATATATCTAAATAGTAAAATATTTTTAAAAAATATTTTAAAAATTAATAAATACACAAATATACAAAAAAATGTATTGAATTTTTTGTTTTTTTTTTGGTTGTATTTTTTGGTGTTTAGTAAATTTTTAAATTTTTTTTCACAAATATTATATTTTTTGAGCATATTTATGTTAGGTGTGTCTAAAATTTTTAAAAATTACTGAAAATATTAAAAAAATCATTGAAAAGAAAAAAATATGAAAAATAAAAAGTAAACTTTTTTCTGAAAAGTGTTTTATGGAAACCACAACCAAACAAACTGATTACTATTTTTTTTATTGATTATACACTCAATTATATGAGACCAATCACATTGTCACAAGACGATAGATGCATTTGTAGATACAAAATATGGGTTTTTAGCATTAATGTTCCCATACCAACACTTTATTATTTGATTCAAAATGTGGCCTACTGTAGGAAGTGAAGTTTTTTTTATTGACTTATTATGAAAAAACATATAAAAAGTAGAGATGTGATATAACTTAAATAAACCAATAAACTAATAAGTGACTTTTTTTTTTTGTCTTCCCAAAAGAAGCCTAAAAAAGTATATTATTAGCAAAGGGTTAGAATAAAAAATATTTTAAATTTAGTGAAAATGTCTATTTTTTTTGTTATAGAGTGTCATAAGAATATTTAAAAAATAAAAAATTTAATTTATTAACACTCATTAATAATTTTAATTTTTTTTAAGAATTGCTAACAAGTGCTCAAATGTCACAAGAAAAAAATGTCAAATTTAAATTATTTTTCATTGAGATTTTTTTATTATTTTTTGCCTATTCATTTGGTAATTCTATCCCGTTAATAATTTTTTTCTTAATCAAACATCAAATTATGTATTTTTTTAGATTATTAATCCAATCTAAAATCATGCCACCAAAATACACATAATCTTAAAGTCTAATCATCAAATTTAATTGTGGCATTACTCTAGCACTTTTTTGGGGTGAAATTTTAAAGCAAAAAGTTGCATTTAATGGCTCATTTGGTGTTGTTTCTACAAACTGGCATGTTAGTGACATATTTATAATTATGACAAAAAGTAGTGGTTAAAGAGACCTGAGATCTAAAGTTTGTTTTAGCCTTGCTGTTGGTCATCAATTGGCAAAAATTATAGAAAGCAACCCAACCAACCAATGGCTTTCCAGTTAGGGCTATTTTGGGAAGTTGGCTAAAAGTCATTTTTTTTGGTTTGTAGCAAAAGCTAAAAGTTGGCTTTTTTGTCTTTTTTTTTTCATTTGGGAAGTTGGTTTTTAGCCAACGGTGAAATTACAATTTTACCCTCATGAGTCAAAATGTGTTACATAGGTGAAGTCGTAAATATTTTACATAAATGGGGATAGTTTGGTCATTTTATTATGATTTGACATCATAAACAAACATTAATCAAAAAAGTCAAAAGTCACTTTTTACCAACTTTCCAAATCATTTGTCTGAAAAAGTCAAAAGCTTGGTTAAAAGTCAAAAAGCCACTTTTTACTATCTTCCCAAAATAACCCTTATTGTCAAATGCAATGGCACTTTCGTATATATATACACAACTGGTGGTATTTTGAAATATTTTAATTATATTAAAAATTATATAACGAACCAACTTTGCCATCTGGAAATTAGAAAGGCGTGTTTTCCCCAAACAGGCCCTAATGAGCGAAGACTAGAAGAAGAAGCGAAGAGAGAGAGAGAGAGAGAGAAGAGATCAAGACACACAGCTACAGAGTTGGCAAAGACTCGAAGCGAAGAGAGAGAGGGAGAGAGAGAGAGAGAGAGTCGGCATTAATGGCGGAAGGGATAAAACACAGCGAAGAGAGCGTGAAGTTGTTCGTAGGTCAAGTTCCGAAGCAAATGACCGAAGAGCAACTTCTCGCAATGTTCAAAGAGTTCGCTCTAGTAGACGAAGTCAACATCATCAAAGACAAGACTACGCGAGCTTCACGAGGTTCGCACTCTCACTCTCAAAGCCTCTCTCTTCAAATTTCACATTTTGTTTCTCTTCCCGCATTTTTCAAATATTTGTTCGTTCTGGATCGCAATGCGCGATTCGAGTTCATTCTCGAGTGTTATTCAAGATTTGCCTGGTTCGAGTGTTTATGGTGATGTTTTAAGCCCTAATTTGGTGTCTGTTCTTGGCTTTTGGTTGTTTGCAGGGTGTTGTTTCGTTAAATGTCCGTCGAGGGAAGAAGCCGACAAAGCGGTGAATGCGTATCACAATAAGAGAACTCTTCCTGGGGTTAGTGTTGTTCTGATCTCTATCCATTGGTGTTAATGTAGTTTTTGAATGCATTAATTGAATAACTTTGAAGAATTTGTCTAATGTTTGTGGACATTATGTCTTATAGTGTAATTTACTGATTTGGACAATTACTGATTTCTCATAGTTTGCAATTTTCGGCTACAGAAATAGCTTGTGTGCCATAACTAAGGACTTCTTCCATGAACTTATTATTTCTTGCTTAAGTGTGTTGCTGACTAAAAAAAAAATTAAAATTCTACAAACTGAGATGCAGCATTGTATGATATGAACTTCAGTTGACTTACCAAAAAAGAAAAAAACAGTAAGGCTCTGTTTGTTTCGACATAAAAAATAAAAAATAAAAAAAATTTGTAAATTGATTTAAGTAGAAAAAATGTTTTTATTTTTGTTTTTCAGTGTTTAGTTGATACTTGAAATAAAAATATTTTATTGTCTAAAAGAGAAATTTTGATTCAATAAAGTGTCATTTATGATTTTTAGTGAGTTAAAATATTTATTTGAAAAGGATAAATGTGTTGAAAATGTAGTGAGTAAGTGTCAATTTTATAAAAATTGATTTATGGAATTTTTAAAGGTAAGCCATTTTTTAGAAAATAATGCACAAATATTTTCCTTAAAAAATATTTTCCTTATTTTTTGTTCAACCAAAGAATGAAAAATGAGTAAACAAACGGAGACTCAATGATGTTGACTCTAGTGATTTGGCCCCCTGAGTGTGTTTGAAGCAGGCAGTGGAGTTGAGGGCTTTACTTTTTTATTTTACTAGACTACTAAACATGTGGTTGAGCTGAGATAAATCAACTGATATGCCAGGAAAGAACTAAATAAAATACACAAATTTTGTACTCAGATTCTCCATAGACATGTTGTTGGACAATTTTCATTGTATTTAAAAGATTTAATTTTATTGTGTACACAATAACAATTAGAATTTAAAGAAATAAAGAAAAGGAGAGAAATTTATTTGATTACAAAAATCAAACTCGAAATAAAAAGTACATAAATAAATAACAGATTTTATTTTGTTACAAAAACAAAATTTAAATCTGATTTCAATAAAAAAAAACAACACTGAAAATAAATTAAATAACTTACTTGATTTAATTTCTCCGAATTATTTTCTGATCAAGTCCAGTGTTTGACACTGTGTCCTTAAGACAGATTCGTCCTCTCCACGGTGCTTTCAGAATTCGGACGTCTATCTCCCAGGATGAAATGATCTACCACAAACAATAGCAGCACTACAAATTGTTTGCCTTACGAACACACTAAGTGTTTACACTCAATGCCTATCGGCGAAACCATACATGTTGATGGGTCTAGGCTGGCACAAGGGAATGGCATGTGAGTGTTTTCAAATCCTATGTTTGAACCCATGTCTGGCACACGAGTATTCACCAATCCTATGTTCGAATTCACACCTGGGGAGTTAGAAGGAATTGCTGCGATTGGAAGAGAAATATAACTTGTTCATCTTCCTGTAGTTCCCTTCGCAGCATCTTTTGTAGTGAAACCCTTCGCAGCATCTTTTGTAGTGCAAATGTCTGCCCTAAGAAGGCAGTCATGCCCTCAACATCAACCAGCACAGCAAGGATAGCCAGTCCCAAATATGCCATTACATGCACCAAGAAGGCCTCAAGCAGATGGAGTTCCTCTAAACCCTATGTTTGCTTCTCCAATAATGGCCTAACCAGCACAAAATATGGTTCTTAGGAACCAAATTGCTGACATTATTAGAGAGATTTGTGGACCTATGGCCCGGGGAGTCCAGACTCATGTTTATAAAAAGCCTTACCTAGAATAGATAGATAGGTTACATGAATACCCAAAGGGATTTAGGATACCAAACGTTGCCCTCTTTTATGGAAATAGAAACCAGTCAACTGTTGAGCACATTGCTAGGTTTACAAGCTAATGTGGTGAATTCAGCAACAATGATCATGAAGTTAAGACTTTTTCCAAACTCTCTAACTAGAGTAGCTTTTGTATGGTATACAAACCTTACACCTGGTTCTATCCAGACTTGGCAACAAATGGAATAGGTATTTCAGGCCCAGTTTTTCCAAACAGAGTCTGAAGTATTTATGGCAAACTTGGCAAGGTTGAGCCAGAGGCCTGATGAAAAGGCTAAAAGGGCACGAAACAAATGTAGGGCCGTACTACCTGAACCTGAATTTGTAAGATTGGCCCAAATGGGCTAGAGTTTAGGCTTCGAAAGAAGTTTGACTCAA